TTTCGCTCACTGGGGTTGCTCATTTAAAACCAGATGCTGCTTCTAATAGTTCAGATGGTTGGGGCCCAGACCTCCCAACTCACCCACAAATCTTTTATAGCGAGGCGAAATGTGAAAGAAGCAAACAGACTTGAATACGAAGGTTCTGAGACCTTACAATGCCCTTTGGTGCAAGTAGGAACAGGCTTTGCACATGAGTTCAAAGAAGAGGCCCAGTTCAAATAACTTTCAATCAGGATGTGGCTCGGGGCAACAGGCCTGTCAGGTGAAAGAAGTCTCTCAACATGCTTCCTAGAACTTGGGAGTATAGATTCGATCTTCAGTAAGTGATTTTTGTGCCTCAGCCTCCTCTCTTTGTGTGACCTAATTGCATGTAGCACAGAGTCTGCAGACCTCTGCTAGTTGTGCGCTAACCACACCTAAGGACAGATACAGGGCAAATGTTTACTCCTCATGATGTCGACTCTGAAGGTAATATTGCAGATGGCAAATGGGCATGGATTGCATTGCTATAGATCTTAGTTTAACATGGAAGCCTTTATTGACACTATCAAATATTTTATAGAGCAAACTAGCTTTGACTTGAGTGAATTCACTTTTACTGGTGCCAGACCTGCCTGCGATCTTGGGTGGTTCACATGCTGGCAACTTTATCCCTGTAAACTGTGGAATCATGGGATTAAACTGGAGGTAGTCTGGCCTACACCCCAAACTGTGTGAGGACACGGAAGCCCAGAAAAAGATGAGGAAATTAATCTGCAGTCAATTTAATAGTGGAAGATTGTGAATAAAACTCAGGTCTCACTGAAAACTATCAATCACAGAATTGATGAATGAAGGTAAATTCACATAATATAAAATGTTATAAAATAAGACTATGTTCTGATATGGGAAGGTGTTGGAAATCAATTCAAATATGAGAACTCATGTTAAGCAAAAAACACTAAACTGCATGATAGATTATATGGCATTACTTGACTTTTGCAAAAAAATAGACTTTTATTCATTAAACATGTATGCATACATTAGCCAAAATTATCTGTAGTTATAGCAAAAGACATCTATAGTTTTCTCCGCAAAAAAGGAGTTTCTGTTTTTTCATATTTGTTAATGTCAGAAATTATTATTATTATTATTATTATTATTATTATTATTATTATTATTATTTTACATCATGTGTTACTTCCTTTCCCAAAAAAACAAAAGCTATTCACAAGATGGCCACTCACAGAGACAGGAGAACAAGTGTCATATCCCCGTCTTGTGTTATTTATGTTTGTTTTTGCAGTACAGGGGATTGAACCCAGGGTTGCTCTACCACCAAGTTATATCCCCGGCCCTTTTTATTTTTCATTTTGAGACAGGGCCTCACTCAGTTGCTCAGGCTGGCCTAGAACTTGTGATCTTCCTGCCTAGCCTCCCATGTAGCTGAAAAATGCATAAAATGTCCCCTGCTGAGGGGACAGAAATCATGTCAGCTGGGATGGTAGGGCAGGGACAGGGCGCAGGTAGAACAGGCCATATCAATTACTACTACTGAGGCTCAAGAAGTCAGGAGACTAGAGTACTTTGAGCCATAAACTCAGAAGGACAGACAGATGTCCTAGAAACAGCCAGTGTCTGAGGGATAACCTATGATGTAACCTTTTGGTCTTCCACAGGCATTTGTTTCCCTGAGTCTCAGTTTCCTTTTTTATACAAGTCCCCAGAGTGCAGGGAACTGGTGAGAAAGAAATAATAAAAACCATGTGTTTCATCCCAGGCTGGAGAGGCCCATTCACAGCACCTGCACTAAATAAACTCCAAGGTGGCTGTGAAACCTGCAAGATGGTTTTATGGAGACAGTTACAGGCAAAATGCACCTTAGGCAGGCGCAAGAAAACTATTTACAGCCCGAGAAGGCCCCAACAGCCCCTTCCAGAAACCTGATTACGCTGTTTATGACTATTCAGGCCGCCAAAGAGCAGGAGCCTCTGCTCTGTCAAATGGCGGCAGCTTAAGTGAAAGGGAACACCCATCTCTGAAGACCCTGGAGTGAGGTGGGAGGGACTGGGGACAGACACAAATACCCTGCCACCAGCAAACACAGCACACAAGTATCACTCCACTGTCAAAAATAAACACCGAGAGTCAGGCAAAGTGGTGCACGCCTGTAATCCTAGCAACTGGGGAGGCTGAGGCAAGATCTCAAGTTCAAACCCAGCCTCAGCAACTTAGTGAGGCACTAAGCAACTTGGTGAGACCCCATCTGAAAATAAAAAAATAAAAGGGCTGGGGATGTGGCTCAGTGGTCAAGCACTCAAAAAAAAAAAAAAAAAGCCCCAGTACCAAATGATAACAACAACATCAAGAAATAAACATGGAGTGAAATGTTTGGACTCCAGCAGAGACAAGGCAAGTTTTTTAAATTTAGCCCAGCTGTTGCCAGAAGAGCTGGGTGGTGGTGGTGGTGGCCAATGGTTTTTGGGGTCAGTTGAGATCCAGAGCAGTTCAGGTATGTTCTACAGGCTCCATCCCAAAGCCCCGGGGGGCTTGGTTCTCCTGCTTAAATACAGGGCGCTTCAGAAGCAGTAATGGCTCTTTGCACCACAGACAATAGTGATCCTACAGTGGCAAATTCCTGGCTATGCCTGATTTTACCCAACAAAACGTGTTTCTGAAAAGATGTACGTGAATGGAATTCAACAGAAGACCCTGGCACACGCCTGTGGGGGGAAAAGCATCAAAGCCCTCTCGAGATCTCTGAGGGGGGTTACCCTCTCCTTGTTAAGGCCTTATTTTCTGTATGAATTTTCACAATAAGCATAACATTTGTACGCAGGAAAATCATAAATTTGTATGCAAAAGAGGCTCTCGGCACTCACTGGAGCCTGGCAGAGCACCCTTTGGTAACAGCAGAGTCAACCTTTGATGCCTGCTTGTCTTTGAAGATCAGTATTTGTACAAAGAAAAAAAAAATCAATAATCTATCTGTGGGACTCTCCAGCTCCTTAAAGGAGTCCTGAAAAATGTTTTTCAGTAACTGATCAATCAGCTCTTCATTTCTCAACTTGTCTTCACATGTTAATACATTTGCATTTCAGGTTTTCCAAAAGAGAAATATGGGTGCCTTCAATTCCATTTGCCAAAAATGGCTAACACGGCTCCAAAATCTAACAGAAGGGTGTGAATGAACATCAGCCATTGGTAAAGCAGGAACTGATTGGGGCAGCCTTTGCGCTCTCCCCCAGATGTCCTTGGGAAGGCTCGAGTGACCAGCAAGACTTCAGAGAACTTATAATGAGAAAGCCAGTCAAATAGTGCTTTCCCCTTACATGGAGTTTATAGAAAATGCCATCAAATGCCTGAGTTCATCTTGGGAATGCTGTCCCAGTGCAGAAGAATCTGGATGCCCCACATGACTGACCTCTTTATCTTGCTCCATGGTTGGCTGAGACTAGGGAAATCCCTGACACCCCCAAGGTAGCCTCAGATCTTCCTAAGCAGCTTATGGGGTGAGAGAGGGAGGGAATGGGGGACTTACGGGGGAGGAATCATTGTATGCAAGTGCTCTGTCTTCTACTGAGCTACGTCCTTGGTCCCTCCAGTTCTCTTTATAAGGGGCTCAGTTGATGCCAACTCTCTGTCTTGTGCCCAGACCTCTAGAAGTGGTCTGTGTACTAGCTCTGACCCTTGGGCCATTTGTCACCCAGTCCCGCCCTCCTATTTCAGTTACAGTCCCCTCCACCTCAGTGCCTGGGGTTGGAGTCCCAGGGCAGGATGTGGGCACAGATGCCTCTGTTACACATAGGGCCTGGAAACCCCCCTGTGCCCTGGGGGTCAGGGCACAGAACATAAAGTTCTGTTGCTAGGGGTCTGTCCTTAAAGACAAAGGACCTCACACCAGTATTCACTTTCCTGGGACTGACCCAAAGCTGCCAGTGACCTGGACTTGGCTCTAAGTGGTGAGAATGCAGAAAGAAACCATCAAATTCTCTTTCATGAAAATGTGGGCTTCCAGACAGGTGCTATCTCAAAGCACTTCTCCCACACAACATCACAAAAACAGACTTGAATAGACAGACTCTGGGGTCCGGACAGGCCTCGTGTGTGGTGACGAACCTCCCTCCTCCCTACTCACTCACCCACTGGGTCCAGAAGCTACACTTCACAGCCTGCTCTTTCCCTGTTTTGCACAAATGCCCCAACATGTGGAGGAGACTGCACGTGGAGGGCGGCTGCAGAGAGCTTGTGCACAAGGAGAGAGAAAGGCTGCAGCTCCACTCAACAGAAATTGAAAAACACAGGCAGAGGGAAGAACACTGAGCCAGGCGCCCTCTAGCTGGGTGCGGCCACAGGCGCATTTTGCTTTGTAACCAGTTTGGCCTCATGTCCCATGTGCCAGAGTGGGAGGCTGCACACAGCAGGTGTGCAAGAAGTGTAAGAAAGGGAGTGTAGTGTAAGAAAGGGGGTCACAACCGTTGGGCAAAGGAAAGATGAAGCTTTAGGAATTTGAGGTACTAAATGCATGTTATGCAGAGAGAACAAAACTAAAAACAGAAAACAAAAATCATTAGACGGCACCAATCATTTCCCCAAGGGGTCAGCAAACACAATTAGTATGTGTTCCCTACTGCCCAAAACTCTCTTTTTGGCTCAAGTTTCAGAATTACCCTCACACAGGGAATGACCTACTTTAATAAAACATCAGAAATGATTTTAGAATTAAAAAAATAAATAAAAGCTCAAACTTTGTTTTGTTTTCTAAACCAGTGCTGAGTGCTAGAGAGCCAGTGAATGCCTTTGATTTGAAGAATTTTGTCAGCTTCTTCACCCATGTTTCGATACTAGCCGGACTGAAGGCAGCACCTCTTGGCTCCTTCTAGGGATGCTTTTCTGAAGGACACAAAGCCTCATCCTCACAGCCGCATCCCAGACTCCTCCGCACCACTAAGCCCAGAAGCAGAAAGTAAAGCAAATGCTTTGGGGATGACAATGGAGAAAAAGGCTTCTGTACTCACATTTGTCCCAGAAGGAAATGCAGGATTTGACTGAGCAAATGGCCTTGCCGGAATGGCTGCGTATGATGTTCCAAGATTTGAGGCATAATCTAAATAATAAGTGATACAAACCAGGTGAAAACTTTGGAGTCATGCTAAGGACATACATGGGATGAGAAAACTAAAAATTTCCTTTTAACACATTTATTAGTGATTGGCATGATTACATCTCTGGGCATGTTGTAATCAGCAATACGTGTTAGTATGAAATATCTCTGGGAATACTGATGCATGCTAGTGGCTTGGGATCTGTTTGCTTTATAAATGCATAGGAAGGATGCATCAGAGAAGTCCTGGTTCTTAAAGACAGGACATAACAAGCCTGCAGTAGCTGACTGCAAACTGTGACCTGTAGGGCTGTGCTCACCTTCATTTCCAGCAGGGCTGTAAACAGCTGTGCCAGTCGGGGAACCACACAGCGCTCCCTCTGCCGAAGCCAGTACACACCGGATATCAGCACTGGAGAGAGGTGAGAAGGTGAACCAGTTTCTCAATAAATTAAATGAAAAATTACCTTACGCCCCTGCAATTTCACTCCTGGGTACAGACCCTAAATAGTTGAAAACAGGTCCTCACACAAAAACTTGTACACGACTGTTCGTGTCAGCAGTATTCACCATGCTGAATACTGTGAATATTATTCACAGTAATAATATTCTGTGAAGCAACCCAAATGCCCATCAAAAGATGAATGGTTAAGCAAAATGTCATACACATGTAGTGGAATATTGTTCAGCCATGAAAAGGTCTATGTGTGAATGAAGCTTCAAAATATTATGTTAAGTTTTAAAAAGCTAGTCACAAAAGGTCACATAGGATTCCATTTACCTGAAATGTCCAGGAGAGGCTAATCCTTAGAGACAGAAAGCAGACGGGTGGTTCTGGGAGGTGGGGGAAGGAAAGGGGAATAGCAGAGACTTAACAGGTTTGAGGCTTCCTTTGGGGGGGAATGAAGATATCTAGGAACTAGATAGTGGTAATGTCTGCACAGCCTCATGAATGTGCTAAATGCCACAGAATTGTAAATTTTAAAATTATTTTTAAGTTGTGATAAACCACAACATAAAATTGACCATCTTCGCTATTTTGAAGATACTGGGTCAGTGGCATAAAACACGTCCACACTATTGTGCGGCCACCACCGCCATCCATCTCTAGAACTCTTCATCTTGCAAAACAGAAACTCTGTGTCCACCAAACACTGACTCTCAGCCTCCCACACCTTGGCAACCACCATCTGTTTTCTGTCTCTATGAGTCTGTCCTCTCTAAATGCCTCCCAAAAGTGAAATTACGCAGTACATGTCCTTTTCTGATTGGCTTATTTCAGTGCAATGTCCTCAAAGTTCAAGCATGCTGAGGTATGTTTCAGAATGTCCTTTCTTTTTAAGGCTGAGTAATATTCCACTGTGTGCACAGACCACATTTTGTTACTCATTCATTTGTTCCAGCTGCTCTTGAATTCTGGCTGCTGCGAATAATAAGGGGAGATCTTACGAATGGGCCCATTTCAAAATACAGAACCCAGTTGTCTATTCTACACCCCTGGGCCAGACCCTCTCTTCTCCACTTCCACTGGTCTCTAGGTATCTTCTTGGGCTGCTGAGTGTCTGTCTATTCTCAGCATGGCAGTCAGGGACCTGTCCTGGAGTCTGAGCACATCACTGCTTTGCTCAACCGTCCAATAGCTCCAATCACACAGCAGCACTGAGTCTTCACAGTGACTGGGGGCTCTGGACCTGGGCCTTGGTACTTCCCTGGCTTCTCTCCCTGTCTTTCTGCCCTGGTCACATTGGATGTTGTCTAGTATCCCAGGTCCACACCATCTGCAGGGCCTTCATTCCATCCTCTCCTGAGGTGTCCTCAATGAAGTCTCTTCCAAATGCCCTCTTTGAAATGCAAGGACCAGCCCCTCAGTGCCCACGTGAATGCACACACATTTCCCACCCTGCCCCAGTGCTGCCTTCTGCTTAGCATTTATCACCAGGAATGCTAGTTTTTCATTGTGTGTCTCCTCTGCATTGAGTGTAAGCTCCTCGTGGACAGAGACTTGGCCTATTTTGTTCTCTGTGGTTTCCCTTGCACCCAGCACAGAGCACAACAGACAACAGGTGTTATAAATTTTGTTGAGCACATGCATGAATCCAATCTCTGGAAGAGCACTTACTTTTCAGAGAAGACCAGGCATTTCTGAGCATGCAGCTTCCCCTTCACATGCAGCTCCCAGTCCTAGGCCAGAAGGAAAGAAAAATGACTAAAGTAGAATTGCATCACAGGGAGGCAGAGGATGAGTGCAGAGTAATCGTCAGGCAGGGAACACAGAGCTCCCAGAGGCTGGTCCAACCCTGCACACGCACATCTTCCTCTCCCTCCCTCCGCCCCCTGCTTCTGCCTCCTCACCCTGCCCTCACTCCAGGGGCCCCTGGTCCATACATCCCATGCCCATCTTGGACAGTAACCCAAACTTGACAGTCAGACTCCTTCTTCCCCTTTCATTGGACCCTGGGACCCACCTGCTGCTCCTTCTGATCTTGCAGAGAGAACACACCCAATTCTGTAGCCAACTGGGAGATTCTGACCAGTGGACTCACCAGTAAAAAGGCCTTAGAAAAGGATTATGAGAGACACAATCCTTGAGCACCTCCAGAGTTAGCCAGTTCCCTCCCTAAGCTGGAAGTGAGAGGGCATGTCCCACCAAGTCACAGGGACGCACATGGATGATCTGACCCAGGCAGAGGTAACACCCTGTGATGTGACTCCCACTAAGGAAGGACTTCATTATATTCCATGACTGAATGAGAAATTGGAGGCAGGACAGTCCAGTACCTAAGAGGCACAGGCTAGGGGCGGGTCAGACACGTTTTTGGTTTTGGTTTCTGCAATGCTGGGGATCAAATCTAGGGCCTCACACATGCTAACGAGGACCCACCACTGAGTTACATGCCACGTTTGAATCTCTCCTCTGCCACTTTCTAGATAGGAGGTCTGAGGTGCGTCATTTCGTCTCGGTGCCTCAGTTTTCTTGTTTGTGAAGTGAAGATAACCCCAGGTATACCTCATAGAGTTACCCCAGCACACAGAAAGGGTTTAATATATGTCAGTTATTACAATCATCATCATCAACAATCATGCTTTGGAATATATCACTGCATCATCAATAAATTTGGGGGGGATAATTACACTATAATGGGATTTTATTTATAGCAGTTCAAAGCATCTTAAAACCAGTGGGAAGGTGTCATGAGGCTGAGGCCCCTTATAATAATTTGTTTAAGTCCCACCTAAAAATTGCTCCCTGCCCATGACTCTAAGTTTCTACATTTTCTTTTCCTTTCAAACTCAATACAATGCTTGTACTTGAGGAATAGTGGCTTCTAGGCCCAACACAGAGGAACAGCCCTCCACAAGGAGGCAGGAGACAAGTCCCAGAGCCCTTCTCTGCACCCCAGGTGGGGTCATTCCATCTCCTTGGGTCTCAGCTTGCTCATCTATAAATGAGGCAAGGAATCTCTCACTGGCCTTAAAGCAAGGCCACGCCCCTGACACATTTGTGAATTCGTTTAGGTTCTAATACCTGTCATCTTAATCAAGAGTCCTGGCAAGGTTCTGTTCCCTAGTCCCCAAATGTTCACCTTCTGGCACAGCTGGATGGGGCCGGGAGCCTGAGTAGGTTCCCAGCTGTGGCTCCCAGCCTGCCCTGGATGACTCACCTTCAAGTCAAACACCTTCTTGTCACACATGGTACAGATGTGAGGCAGGTGAAGGGGTGCCACACCGTGGAAGTCGTTCAGCTCGTGAGCCTGCAGGGGCCGCACAGACAGCATGGCCTGCTCCTCCTTGGCCCGCCTCCGGGCACCGCTGAAACCCTGCTTGCTGTTGTTGAGCCGACCCCCGAAGGAGGGAGGGGTCCTGTCTGAGGTGGGTTCCTCGGGGTCATACAGTTCATAGGGCTGGCTGGGCGGTGGAGGCCACAGGCTGGGACCTGCTGTAAGGTCAGGTTTGTTCTGGCCAGAGAATCCAGGGGGGCTCTCCCACTGGCTGTTTGCACCCTGCAGCAGGGCCCCTACCTCGCCTTTCATGCCCCCAGTTTGCTCAGTTGGAAATCCACCTGCCACGTGGGACCCTTGGGCATTGGGTCCATAGAAATCTTTGGAAAAGGCAAGTTGACCATCTTGTCCTGCATGGCCATAGTGCCCTTCGTAGGTCACACTGCCTGAGGCAGAGGCTGAGGCTGGCAGGAAGCCGGGCTGACCATCTGTCTCAGAGCCGTATGCCTGGCCAGTGCTAGCTTTGCCATACTCGTAGAATCCCGTGGTGGCTGGAGCAGTGCCCCCCTTGCCAATGCCCAAGATGACGGCCGGCTGGGCAGGGGTCTGAGGCATCACCCCGCTGAAAGGATGCATCACCACGGCACTGGGAGGCTGGCTGGGAAGGCTTACAGAGGGTCCTGGGCCTCGTGTCTGGTTAGGGGATGAAAAAGCAATTGCACTCGAGGGAAACCGGGCGCTGGGTAGGGCTGCAGCATGCTGGGGCACTGCAGTGTGGCTGTGGGGGGCACCGAGCACAGATGGATGCCTCAGCTGGTTGAAGAGAGGCTGGGACATGGCCACTTTGGAGAGGACTTGGTTCAGCACCGTGGCGGCCGCAGTATTGTTGGTGACAGCTGTCTGTGCCAACTTCAGCCGGTGGAGGGTGAGCTGTGCCTGCAGTTGGGCCAGCTGGAGACTGGCAGGCGAAGGTAGCAGAGGGTTCGGATTTCGCACAGAGAAAGGCTGCTTGTCCAGGAGCTTGGCGGCACTGCAGAAAGACGAGAGGTCTAGGTGCACAGCTGGCTTCAGTGAAGGGGACATGGGACTGTTTTTGCTTATCTTTGGTCCCCCTCCCCATAAATAAGACCCTTCTATGTGGGTGCCACTTACAAATGAGTTGAAAACACCTAGGCTTACAAGTTTTAAAAAGACACAAGTGCCACTGGAAAATTATATGACAAAACGTGCCATCTCCCTGGTAATTAGAAATACAAATGGAAACCATTAGAAACAAAAATTACCTTGCAAAACAGCCAACATTAAAAATATTGATGATAATAAAAATAGAACCAGTGCTGGAGAAATTAAGTGGAAGTGATACCTTTTTTCTTTTCTTTTCTTTTTGGCACTGGGGATTGAGCCTAGGACCTCATGCATGCTAGGCAAGTGCTCTCTATCACTGAATCACTGAGCTACATTCCCAGCCCTGGAGAGGTTACATGGAATAGATAGAATGTCAGTACTTGTCTGAATTCATACTGCTTTGGTAAAAGGTAGTCTGGCAATATGAATTCCTCACACCCATATTTTTTACCCAAAATTCAATTCTACAAATCTATTCTAAGACAAAATATCTGAAGATATTTAACATTATATTGTTTTAAGAGTTCCAAGTTGAAAATAACCAACATCCAATAGTGGGAAGATGGGATTTGATCTGAGTAAATTATATCTACATAATTAAACATCAAGTAATCATTTACTAATGATATTTAAATTTCTACATTATTATGTAAAATTTAAGACATTAAAAAAAAAGTATATCCAGCCAAACAGGATGGCACATGCCTGTAACCTTAGTGACTTGGAGGTTAAGACAAGAGGATTGCAAGTTCAAGGCCAGCCTCAGTAACTTAGCAAGACCCTGTCTAAAATTTTTTTCAAAATTTTAAAATAAAGGCTGGGGATCTAGCTCAGTGGTAAAATACCTCTGGATTCAATCCTCAATACCAAAAAAAAAAAGTTTATTCAGTTTCAAGCCTAATATAGAAAACATTCCAGCATGCTAAAGCCAGCCCCCTTGCTCTCCCCATCCCACCCTGCCCATCATTGCCAATGATAAACACTATCTTGAATCTTTTAGGTAAAGTCACCGGTTACAAAAACAAAAATTAAAAAAAAAAAAAAAACAACATTTAATGACATGAGAAAATCCATATGCTCCAATGTTAAGTGAAAAAAGCAGGTTTCAGATTTGTACGCAGAGTGAACTGTATGCATATCTTTGCCAAACTTATTTTCATCCTTGTCCTCATTTCACATCCCAGAATAACAACTCAGCTCTTAAACCAACTAACATAAGCAACAACCCAAAAATTACAAGTGAAAAATCTAAATTCGGGGTAGTAGGCATGAGTTAGCTCTCATGGAATCTTATGGGACAGCAAGGAGGGAATGGTGTTCTGCCTGACATGGGCCATTCAGGTGATCTATGTCGGTTGCTTATGGTGTTTTGTGGACCAAATGAGGACACTTAGTCTGGAAATGAGACAGACTTTGCCAGAAAGTCTGGGATGAGTGGTTACCAGAGTCAGGGCTCTGAGGTCTTAAGGATCCCTTGTGGGAAGTGGGTATAATCAAGAAATGTGTTCAACATTTGATGAACTGGACTTCTAAGACATCGGAATGGGAAGAACAGGCCTGTGGAATCTGAAATCAGGACTGCCACAGACAGGGCAGGCCATGCAGTCAGCATGCTCGTGAATGGGAGGTGGGGCGGGAAATCCCCAGCTGGGACAGTTTAGTCTCCTTTGTCCCAGACACTGTGCAACAAAAGTCCAAAGGGAGAGAGCACAAAGGGAGAGAGAGGCTCAGGTGGGGAAGAAGAGGAGACGTGTGGAAAGTGGTGGCATGTCACAACTGTCCCACTTTGGAGACAGGCCTGTTGTACCTCTTCCACTTTGGAGTGGAAGTCGGCTTCTGCTTAGGTTTGCGCTTTGCACTGGAGGCAGTGTGGAGGTGGAGAGGAGGAAGGGGAATAGGAGACACTGATCACATCTATTATGATACACCGGTGTGGCCAGAGCTTAGCCTGTGTCACCTCATTTGGTCATTTTCACCCCAATTTTGCAAGGCAAGAACCTACAGCTCGGAGGGATTAGATGGCCTCTTTAGTAAACATTCACTTTGGTGAGGATGGGTGTTGAGTATGTAGGATTCAGACTCCAATCAGGCTTTGAAAAGAAGAGAAGCATCAGGCAATTAAAGTATGTAGTCCCTTTGATACACCCTCATCGGCTGTTTCCTGTCTTATTTGATGTGAGTTCCCAGAACATCAGACACACCCACATTCAAATGCAAGTACAAAATACATCTCAGAGCCATATAAAAATGATGCTATCGTTTGGAGGTGAAGTGTTCCCCAAAGGCCTGGTGGTACCCAATGCAGCAGTGTTCGGAGTCAGGGCTTTTGGGAAGTGATGGATCATGAGGGCTCTGACCTCATCGTTGTACTAATCCACTGATACCTAAATGGACCACTGGGAGGCAGTGGAGGCTGTGGGAGGGGGGCCTGGTTGGAGGAAGTAGGTAACTGGGGAGCATGTCCTGGAAGGGCATTTCTTGTCCCCTGCCATACACGCACTCTCTCCCCTGCTCCCTCTCCTCCTCCATCTTCCTCTCCTCTCCCCTTCCAGGCCACTGTGAAGTAGGCTGCTTTCCTCTGCCACACCCTTCTGCCTTGGGGTTCTTTAGGCCTCACTTCGGGCCTAAAGCAATGAAGCTGGTCGACCATGGACTGAAGTCATGAGCCAAAATAAATCTTTCCTACTTTAAGTTGTTTTTCTCAGGTATTTTTCACAGTGACAAAAAGCTGATTAACACAAATGATCTTGTTACTCTTTCCCATTTGTGTGAAAAATCAAACACTTGCTGTGAAGTTGTTAAAGAGCCACCCAGCTAGCAGACCTGCTGAGCTCCAAGGGCAGAACAAGCTGGCATTTTAAGATACTGGGAAGGCCAAGGTGAAGGGTAGTTATAGACCTTTTCTTTTTCTTCAGGGAGGTGGAGTTGCCCTGGTTGTAGCCAAGCTCTAGGGACTCCAGTGTGGCCCAGCACAAATCTTGGCGGCAATGGAATGGGGAGGCACTACAAAAATACAAAAGAAGAGGGTGGTCAAGTCTGATGATAGATTTCGACTTGGGTAGCATTAGGTAGTTCAGCTTTAGAAGAGCAATTAAGCTTAACTCAAAACCCAGCCCTCATAGGGCCAACTCTTCCTACCAGGTTTGTCCAGCACACAGACTGTCCTTACTAACAAGGCGATAATGAGGTGTCAATTTGGTTTCCATGACCAGAGTAAGACAAGGTTGGTTATGTTTTTTCCAGAGAAGTCAGCTCTGTTTTCTCCACTCGCGTTCTGGGCTGAAGAGAGATCTTGCTGGAGATTCCTCTTTGCCTTTGGAAGGCCACGGGGGGGAAGAGCTATGTTCCCAACCAGGAAGGCTGACCACGCTGGGCATTTGTACATCAGCCACAGAGAGAAGTGCTTTTCAGAGTATGCCCAGGTTGCAGGAACTTACCCACTCAGATCCAGCATAAAAAAACAAGAGGGCTAGCCAGCACTTTGCTTACCTAATACCTACTGTCCCAAACTATATTTAACCTTCACTAGAAGTGATTTTACATGAATCATAGCTAAACACCTCTTTTGAACTAAAATCTTCATTAGGAAAAGACTCATCATCCTATTAAAGTAAAAGAAAGGCAAAAACCTAAAATTCTTAGCTTGCAAGATTAACAACCTGAAATTTCAATGCATCTAGTGATATAGTGTGATACTTATGTACCATTTTGCTGTTTTGTTTGAAGTGAGTTCCCAGAACATCAGGCCCACCCACGCTCAAATACAAGTACAAAACACATCTCAGAGCCAGATAAAAATGACTTTGTTATTCTTTCCCATTTGTGAGAAAAATTAAGCTCCACAAAAGAAAGGATATGTGTTGGAGACAACTTGGATTTTGCCAGCACGCCACCTCCCACCGGGAGGGCACTCAGTGACTTCCATGAACAGAAGGAAGAAGGAAGGAAATGGCCGTGGCTTTGAGGAGATGTGGACATCTCATGTGAGTACACATTTCTCTGAATAAAGGCCCTTGAATAGTTCAAAAAGGGGAATCTAAGTATGCCCAGAGAGCAAATGGATTTTGCTGTTGTACAGCTAAAGCATGTAAGTCAGTACATGGTCACCCACCTAGGGGACTATCTATAATTTCCCATTCCAGCACAGGAGTTTCAATACACTCTTCTCCCTAAGTCTAGGTTCTGAAATTGACTGGATAATTGAATTATGATCCACTGAATATGTCCATTTTCTAAATCCACAGCCTGTGACTGTTACCTTACATAGTAAAGAGGACTTTGCAGATGTGATCAAAATAAGGATCTCAAAATGGGATAAGATTAGCCTGAAACTATCCAGGAATGCCCTATGTAACCACCTAGTCCTTATAAGGTAGAGGCAGGAAGACTGGAATCAGAGAGAAAAGATATAAGAACCAGACCAGGGAGGATGCTTCAAATCCCCTGCTGGATTTGAAGGTGGAGGAGGGGCTGTGAGCCAAGGAAATCCGGGCAGCTTCTAGAAACTAGAAAAAGCAAGGAAGCAGAGTTTTCTCTGGAGCCTCCAGAAAGAACTGGCCCTGATGACCCCTTGACTTTAGTCCACTAAGACTAACTTTGGACTTCTGACTTCCAGAACTGTAAGAAAATTAACTTGGTTGTTGTAAGCCACTATATATGTGGCAGCACACTGCAGTGGCAATAGGAAATTAATCCACTCTCCAAAGACACTTAGATGCCAAAGAGGCTTCTCTCAGAAGGGCAGGGGTAAGAGTGGGCACTGACTGAAACTGGTGGGTACAAACTGATCCCTTTAGGGGCCTTGGGAAGCACAGACCCCCTACATGGGCATCCTAAGACCTTCTGGGAACTTATCCAGGAGCCAATTCTACCCAAGCAGATAAAACCCAGAGGTGTCTTCCTTTAAAAGTCAATTTTCTTTATTCAGCTGGAGCCATTGCAACTAGGGAAGGCTTAGAATTGCAGGCCCTTAGGGATCCGCTCATCGAACCTCCTTATTAACACAGAGGGATAACAGTTTGTCCCAAGCCACATAACTGGGTAGTAGCAGAACCTTAAGGAGAACCCAGGTCATCCAACTCAGGAGAATAGCTTTGCCTTTATAAGGCCTAAGCCACAGAACTCTCTCTCTCCTCACTAAATGATCAGACCCATCCATAATGATTTGTAGCTTGTCCTGCCACTCAGAGACAACTGGGTGCTTTCCATATGCAAGGCACTCACTGAGTACTGGGGAAATGCAAAGATGCTGGTCCTTTCTACAACCCCCTAAGCTCCAGAGGCAATGACAGCAGGGATGCCCCTTGGCCTAAGGTGTATGGCGGGGAGGCAATTCTATGCACCTTTCCTCTTCTAAGCCTCACATTTGCAGTCATGTAGTCAGGTCGGGGATCTGGGGAGGAAGGAGAAGAGCCCAGTGAGTTACAAAGCTGGACACCAGGCAGGGAGTGAGAATATCTATCTCACAGCCACCCCAAGGCTGATCCATGCTTGTACAACAAACAGCACACTGTGGGTGCACTGATCCAGCCAGGGCCTGGTAAGGCTGGCTGCCCCCAGGGCTGAGCTTTCATTTCTCTGAGCCATTAATTCTTACAAAGAATTCACAGAGTATAATTAGTTTAAAAACCCTGGTTCTCTATTTGCTTAGAAAGATTTTTTTTTTAAATATTTAAATTAAAGCAGCATTTCTCTCAAGAGCTTTAAAGATAAAATACAACATAAAGGAGAATGCTGGAATGTTTGGGAGATGCAGGTGAAAACTGTTTCAAGGGGTTTCATTCCACTGTGTGGGAAGGACGTGAACCTCCTGAGTCCAGCAGGAAGGCACAGTGGCACAGCAGCTGTCTGCGCTCCATAGCGTTCCTGATTGATCCCTAATCTCTTGTGCTTTTTATTTGCAGTCCCAGGTGGGATGCAATGATGCATTCATATTTGGCCACAAGGAGAGGGCAGAGTGTCTTCAGTTTGTGTTAGAATGCTGAAAACTCAGCAGAATTCTTGTTATGCATTTCATTCTGTTCTGAAAGGAAGGGAGAGTGTCCAAGATACAGGCAGAGAAGCCATCGGATGGCCAAAAGGGTGCTCAGGGGTTTGTCCGTTCAGCCCACATGTACTGAGTGTCTGTCCTGAGCTATGCAAAGTTGCCAAGACCTCAAGATGGAGAAGGAGAAGCCTTTGCAATACCACAGGAGAGACAGGACGTGAAGGGGGACGAGGCAAGCTCAAGGCAACAGGACGCAGAGGAAGGGGTTCATACCTCAGAAGTTTTAGAGAAACTTAGCAAAGGAAAGAGAACAATACAAGGGCTGTTCCTGAACTCTGAACAAAGACTTATCAACACGCTGGGCTTGTTAACTCAGCTACAGATGTGAGCATGCGTCAGGGGTCCGTCCGTGATTGGCTGCTGGAGGGTGAACTGTGGTCAGAGACCTGGGCCTCCATCTGCCTGTTACAGGATGTGAGATTGGGGGAAAGTTGCTGAATTCTTCTAGCCCTCAGAATTTTCTCATCTGTAAAATGGGGATAGTAAGCCCCTTGCAACATATCTCAGACCCAGGCAGTCAGAGTACCACACCCTGCTGGCCACAGTGGAGAAGTGGTTAGTTCAAGGATGGATGCTCCTTGAAATTTCATTGGAGGAATCAGGAAAAAGATACTCTGTCATGCCTGGTTGCTCAATCAGCTGTTAAGCCTCCACTTAAGGAGAGCCTGCCTGAGAATAGAGCCAGTTGAGAAGACCCTGGCCTGGATACAGGGTACAGGCAGCTGTTGGGTGGCCTCCTGGGAGCACCTTGAGCCACCTTCCCCTGGATCCATTCTGGTCTCTTCTGCACATGAACCAATACATTTCCTTCATTTGCTTAACAGAAAGAATAATGCAAAAAGAAGGCCCACCTACTTCAACCACCTTCATTGAACTCCCCAATTCCTCTGCAGGGCCCACACTGACTCTCACGAGGTTCCCTGACACTCTCTCCGGGAAGTGGACTCACTACAAGGACCAAGGGAAACTAGGGCAGGAACTTTGGTATGAGCATCTGCCAACCAGAGTGCCCTGCTTCCTGAAGGTTCAGGAAACAGAATGTTCCTCCGCCCTGTAGATAAGAGCCCCACCCCATGGTCACAGGCCAGGGTGCAAACAGTGTGGGAGGAAAGGGTGTCAGCTGGGGACAGCCTTTCACAGGCCCAAAGCTCCAGTTCTGGACACACAGGTGCCCCTGTGAGCAAGAGAAACAGCGCCTTGGTCCTCATAGCTGGGGAAGAGGTGGGGCGTAATCACCCTCCACACCTAATAGGTCACTTTTGCTGAACTAAGAACTGGCTTTGCATTGGTTATCCTCTAGGAGAAAAAAAAAAAATCAATTAATAAAAATACAGTGGTTCTCTGGTCTTCTTAGTTGGGACACAGGGGAGTCATACAGTGGGAGTCATACAGTGCCTATGGGACTGGGAGCTGTCCTGAACAAATAGCAGATTGGAATCAAGCTTCCTGGGTTCTCGTTTCAACTCCTCAAATTCCTGTTTGTCAGCTATGTGACCCTGGGCAAGAGTCTTTACCTCTCTGAGCTTCGGTGTACTCATTTATAAAAAGAAGCCACAGACTTCTCTTATAGAATAGGATCATAGCAGTAAAGTTGTCAGAGTGCTCTATAGCCTGCTAGGTGCCAGAGATGTAGGGTGTAACATTCTGTGCAAGACAATTGGAAAGAAGACCTGTTCTGTGTGATCAGACACATGTTTTCCTTTCAGAAAATATCCCTCTACACAGGAAGTGGTATTTGCCACTCACACTTTTGAAGACAGACTCACTGCCACTGTTATGGTTTAGATATGAGATGTCCCCCAAAAATCTCACATGTGAGACAATGCAAGAAAGTTTAGAGGCCAAAGTATTGGGCTAGGAGAGCCTTAACCTAATCAGTGCATTAATCCACTTTGGGGCATGACTTTGGGGTATAGACTTTGTTCCTGTGAGTAGGACACATACTCTTCTCTGATTCCTAGTGGCCATGTCCAGAGCTGCTTTCCTCTGCCATGATGTTCTGCCTCACCTCAGGCTCAGAGAATAGAGCTGGCTCTCTCTGCACTGAGACCTCTGATAACCTGAGCCCCCAAATAAACTTTTCCTCCTCTAATTGTTCTTGCCAGGACTTTTGATCATAGTGGTACAAAAGCTGACTATAAAAGTCAGCAAGGTTCAGGATACAATGAACTAACACCTATTCAGTCATGTTAATGGAGTACCCACCATATCAATGTGATTCTCCTGTGCATCATAGCTGGAAGAGAAGGGACATTGCCCAGAGGCCAAAAGCATATTTCAGAGTTAGTAACAACCTGGGCACAAATTCTACTTGGCTACTGAAAAGCTGGTGGCTGTGGGCTATTCCTTCTCTTTGGTGTCATCATGGTTAGAAGGCAGATGGCTACATCTAAGCTATGGGCTCGCTGTGAGTGCTGAGAGACAGGAGTGCACAAATTGTCCAGCACAGCTCCTAGGACACAGTAAGCAACCACTGCTCCGACTATTATTATGACCGTTGTCATTGTCATTGCCATTACCATTACAGTCATCATCCTCATCGCTGTTACCCCCAGGTGGGCTGTAGATGCCCTCTGCCAAGGCGGATGAATCTTCCTTGGAGACAGAGATGGATGTAAAAGCAATGTAAACATGAAGAGAAAATAAAGTCAGGGACAGAGGACTGCTGAGAGGGGAGAGAGCAGGACTGGGGCTGGGGCTTAAGGAAACAGAGAGTCAAAACAGCTGCTTTGTGAAGCAGACCAGCGGTCAACAGGAGACCTAGGGGCTGTGGAACAACAACAGGACATGGCTGAAGTTCTGTAGTACGAGCCTGTGCAGACTCAGCCACCGGCTCTTCCTTTTGTGATGTTCAGCCACTCAAAAGCAGAAGCCAAGAACCACGGCCTGGAATATGGCAGTGTCTAGGCCAACCCCACCAAACATACTGGAATATGCACCACAGCTTCCCGAAGACCAATTGGGGAATTTAAATCCACTCCCAGTTTAACTCCATTCACTTTTCCACCTGAGTAACAAATATTCCATCTATTCTCTTGAGCTAATATATAAAATATAATCCAGGTGAGAGGGTTCACGGCCAGGCAAGAGAATGTTTTCTGGGTTTGGTACGCCTTTATCATGTGGCCAAATCAAAGAAAGCGCCATGCTCGGGGTCAGGTCTGTGCTGGCTCTGCCTTTCCACAGCACGGTAGGTTAGTTCACAATAATCTATTAAATAGTTTAAGAAGAACTAGAAGAGAGGAGCTTGGAATCCCCAGACATAAAGAAGTGATAAAGAGATGGCAATGCTAATTGCCCCTATTGGATCAATACATATGATTTATAATGCATTGAAATATCACACCAGACCCCATAAATATGTGGTTATGATGTGTTAATGGAAAGGGAAAGAATCCTCAGCTCTACTGTAGGGGCTCTCAGAAGGTAGGTGCAGATATGAATCTCAGGGGTAGTCCCTACGTGCCAGGTCACAAAGACCATAAACACAGAGGGACTAACATTCAAAGTCAGGCTAATTGTCACAGACTGCAAGAAAGGTATTAGAGATTATTTCATTGAACCCACTCATTCTACAGAGGAAAAAGTGAAAGCCAGTGAAGTTTGGGTCATACATGAGTCAGCCCAAGTCACATCCTTGGATAGAGGAGTAGGACCTGGACCCAGGTCCGCTCCCTCTCAGGGCTGATGCAGTGGCTAACGGTGGGACATGTACCCACAACACTCAGGGCAGGGGGGGGGCTCTTTTCTTTTGGGGAGAGAGTGGATGGCATGCTTTTTGATGGCACCCTCTTCACTGGTAACAATAGTGCTGCTGGATTGTCACTGGCTGGGCCTCTGTGACTAATTTTGAGATTACCGGGTCAATGCTACTAACCCGGGTTTGGGCCTTTGCCACGACATTACCATACGATGATTCATGTCACCATGACAGCTTTTGGAATGATTCATAACAGCAATAATAATCCTGCCATCTCTCTTTTGTTGGGTGTTTTTCAGTTGGTGGGTTAGTAAGTGTTTTCATCTCGTCAGTTTTCTGATCTCCAGAACCACCACATGGGTAGTTAAGTCAAATACGACCATTTCCCATTTATGTTGAGACCGAGACCCCAAAAGTGGGATGAACCACCTGAGATCATGCAACCCTGAGTCTCTCATAACTGGCTACTTAATCAGGTCACAGCGCCAGGTACATGGCTGAGGGTCTTTTCACTGTGTGGCATTTCCTCTGTTTACACGTTCGCTGACCAGAGCTTCCAAAACCACATTGGTGCTGCGCCCAGGTACTCCATATTCCTCTCATCAGGCAGAGTGTGATGCTCAGCGCCAGAGAGATGGCAGGCACGAAGGGACAGCCAGTGGTTTCATAACTGAGAGGAGGGAGCCTGCCTCTCCTGCTAGAGTTATTAGAAGAATCAAAACATGCAAAACAATGCATCCGACGCACAGGTTCTGCCAAGGCCATAACAAGAGAGACTGTGAGCAAAGAGAGGTCTGACGTCAGCCTCACCACCAGGAACCTCATAATTCTTCTTTTCTTTTTCTTTCCTCATTACTGTCTTTCTTTCTTAAAATATTAAAATATTTTATAAAATTATGGTTTTAGAGGTGGGGATTTACTTTAAATATTCAAAAATAGCAAGAGTATAACAAATACCTACAAACTCATCACTCATCACCCCAAACATATGCTGCCATCATTGTCATTTTTGACTCTGATTTTTTTTATCAAAACAATTAAATTATACAGATAAAGTTGAAGTCTCCATTGAAACTCTGCCTAGTCCAATTCCACTCCCATCTCCCCAAAGACATCCATGTGTGGTGTGATGTCCACCATATACATCTATCTACCTACATACAGAAAAATCATAAAAACAACACACTTTTCCTATATGCATGTGGGTTCATAAAACAGCAGTGGGACTGGTTTTAACAAAATTTATCCTGAAGAAACAAATTCTTATTCTCCCAAGGACAACAGTGGAGTGAAAAATTGGTGAGCAAGATCAGAAACCCAAGTACTGGTCCTATAGCCATGATAGCAGCCCCTCGGGACAGTAGGTCAGTTGACTTCCTGAATCTCAGGGAGGGATTTTTTTTGTAAAATGAGAAAGCTGGATGAAAGGCTCTCTAAGGTCCCTTCCATCTTTGAAATCTGAGGACTGTAAGGTTCAATTTCCTCATCTGTCAAGTGGAGACGAGATAGTAATGTCTGTCCTGATCACTGCTGTACAGAATGGTTGTAAAGGTCTTAGCATAATGTGCCAGTGCTCTGCAAGGCAAGTGATAATAATAATTACCATTGTTCACGCAAATTAAGATGTTTTTAAGCTCCTAGGAATACTTTTAAAGCAAGCATTGTTATACATATGGCTTGGTTGGAAGTCTGTTAGAGGCTAGCCAGCGGGCAGTAATTTCCTCTCCCTCTGCCGTCTTGGGCAGGCAGTTCAGCACAACTCACTTAACTCCATCCATAACGATTTAGTGAACAAAATACCCCGGCTCCTCACTGTAAAATTTTCTCCTCTTTGAAGACACTTCCAGAAGGACCCAGAGCTTTCAGAGTGCAGTGAATTCAGATCCACTCAGAACTGGAGTCGGTTTATCTCGAGACACGTTTCTTCAGAAAACCCAACGCTGGCCAGAACGTCCCTGGCTTTGTGCAAGTTAAATTCCAGGGAGCTGGTTTGACTTCTGGGGTTAGAGCAGATCTTTCCATTTTCTGAGTAACATAGGATGTGGTGAATTTGCTACTGAGAAACTTTTCTGGGGAACATCTGAATCTTTGAGATGGAAAAAAGGAGCTTTGGGGAAAGTGTATTGAATAACTGCTACACAAAGTTCTCTAAAAAGCCAAATGGCTAATGTTTATACACATGAATAAGATTTAGGGTTGATAGGCCCTACTGCTCCATGGAAGACACCACACACAGGCATTAAGGCCTTTGTATGCACTGGTCCCTCTCTGCACACTTTCACCAGGAGAACCCCCATCTTTCAAATTGCAGCTCACAAGTCACCTCCCGCAGGCAGCCTTCCCTGACTCCTGGGAGTGTGCACCAGTGGCCCCCTGCAGGAGCTCCAGAAACCCCTCCCGTTCTGCCAGCTCAACTTGACACTCTTACATAATCAGCTACTTAATTACCTGCCTGACCTCTCCTCTGTCCTGTGATTTTTTTTTTTTTTTGTTGGAGGTATCGGAGACTGAACTCAGAGGCACTCGAACACTGAGACAGCTTCCCAGCCCTGTTTTGTATTTTTTTTATGGACAGGGTCTCACCGAGTTGCTTTGTGCCTTGCTTTTGCTGAGGCTGCCTTTGAAGTTGCAATCCACCA